AATTTTTAAGGTATAGAGGATGCAATTACCATAATGTCCTTGACCCTAAATTAATAAATTATGTTTTAACCCCTAAATTAGTAAAATTATACTTACCATTTTATTTTCAAATTATCTCAATAACACCCTCAATCACTGCATACCCTCTCGATTTTTGCTCGATCTGGGCTGTTTTCGACAGCGTCGAACCCCTTGGTCACCTCCATTACCTTTCTCAAAAATTTTCGTCCAAGACCTCTTTGGTTCCCAACTCATTGACCCCTCCAATTGCTAGTGTTGTTAGGCTTAGGGTTTCTCTATTCTTTCGCTGGATTATGGTCGATTCCGACGGCAAAAATTCAATTGGACACCATCACTGCAACCAACGTCTCTAACTCTATAGAACCCCTATGTCTCCAGCAATCGTTTAGTCATCATTTAGGGGCTGAGAGCTCATGTTCATCGACCATTTTTTGGTGAAGTGGTGGACGGCAAACGTGAGCTGCTGTGGCTGGGAAGGTTAGGGGTTTTATAGGAAAGGGTGTGAGGAGTCAAATGGTGGTGTTGGTTAGGGTTGTCGCCATTCAAAACAGCCGAAAACCAGCAAAAACCAGTTGCATGTCGCAATTGTCCTGACCGGCGATCAGCGAGTGATGAGGGATTGTGAAGGGTAAGGTTTTATAGAGGGGAGGATGGGGGTTCCAATGGTGGTGACAAGGGTGATTTTGGGTGGAAGAATCACCGAAAAAAAGGCAAAAAACGTTGGAGACGCCGTCTGCTAATGTGTGTCGAAGGACTGTTAAAGGCGGTGATCTGCTAACGTGCGTCATCCATGTAAAATGACTAATTTACCCCTTTACCGTTATATCAAACACGTTTCTGTCACTTTAAAGATAAGAATCTGGAATAAATATAACTAGAGGTATTAACTTGATATTTTGTCAAACCTTGGGTGGGAATATGTCGTTTACTCTTTAATTTATTACTTTTCCCCATGCTAAAGACTTAACAAGTCACATTAATAAGATCAAATCAAAAGTGCGTTAAGATGATTTTATTGATTTTAGACACAAATTTTAGGATAAGGAGGTAAATGTCACTATTCTTAAATTTTGGATTTATGTTATTTCGAAAAACTGAGGACTGAACGGATACTTTCACCTAACCAGAATAGAGACCGCCTGATCGTTTTTATACTTTTTTAAAATGTCTTCATGCTATCAGACAATTTGTAGTTTAGTACTATCTCTCTCAGACTGCTTGGAGATGTAAGGATATATTGGGTAATTATCACTTCTCGTGAGAAAATAGGTGAAAATGTCGTTGATTTTTATGTAATAAAAACTTATCATCTAAGGAGAATTGATACATACCGACCAACTGAAATGATTAAGTGCGCTTTATCATTTTAAAGTAGCATCAAATATCAAGCCGATAATCTTAATCAGATAACACTGTTAATATTTAATGGCTAACCAACAAAATACGTAAATATAAAATGTTATGAAGTTATAAGTGGATAATTATAAGGAATGTTTATAGTGTAGTAATAATGTTTATTTATTAATATATAAATAAAATTGATAAAAGAGATTTTTAGAATAATTCGAATGTTATGAGTAAGTCTTACCTTCATTGTTATTTTATTATTCTCTAATTGTTTTTTAATATTATTAGTAAGACGTACAAAGATAAGGTAATGTTTTATTTAAAAAAAAAAATAATGACTTAAGCTCGGTTGTATATCTAACCCTCATTTATCAAGAACATTGCTCATTTATACAGTCGAGTTTAATGTGATGATTACTTAGCAAAATGTCTACTTATATGCAGAATTCTCCTTAATTCTATCAAAAAATCTAATAGTGTTAAGACATGTGGAGATATTTTGACTAAATTGATGATTGCTCACACTTTCTAAACTTTAATTATTGTTTGATTTTAATTGGTGACTAATACCTTATTATGATTGGTGATTGATTTTAGCACAACAACATTTACTCACGGTAATTGTTTCCTTCATCGGGCAAAGGAATTCTGATGAAATCTTTCCAAAAATTTTCGTCTTTTTTTTTTTCTATTGGATATACTTTATATTGCTAAAGAAGCTTTTAATGTAAGAATTAAATAATTCACATCTGGACATTAATTTATACATGTCATTAAACAAATAAACGTGAAAAGAGAAAAGATAGCTCACGAAATTTTGTGGAAGACACGAGAATCTAACAAGAAAAATGAGAAATATGAAAATCTAGGGGGTGACATAAAGGTCAGTCTGATGGCAGCGAGTGGCAACCATGCACAAGAAACTTGTGATTTGGTTTCATAGGTTTAAGCCAACTGTGGTAAACTATTTGCTTATCGAGAACCACTTGGCAGTTTCTGCGGCGGGGCTACAGGCTACAGGCCAGCCTCGGTGCATTTTAGCAATTCTCTATTTTATTCTTGTCAGTAAGTTGTAAAAGCACGACGAGTTAAACTGTAATATTTGAGTAAACAGTTGCAGCATTTAAAGCTAAAAAACAGGGAAAGTTTGTGATATCTACAGCTTTAAATTAAGCTGACCGAAGTCTGAAGTCTGAACGACGGTATTAACCATTTATTAAGTCTCAGACGTTAGAGTCTATGCCTATGACTCCTTTATCTTTCGTTTACGTTGTGGTAATCCTTTGCTTCTTCAGTAATTATTATACCTATCTTTGGCGCTACTCAACCCTACTCCTAATGTTATCCATCCCAGATTGTACGCCACCACTTAGACTTTACATTTGGATAAAGTCTTTTTTTTTTTGTGTTTTTGGTTAAATAATGGATATGGACAGTTTTGGTTTTTCCTTATTTCACATCAAACTGGTTTATAAATTAAAAAGAAAATAAAATTTATTTTCCAGTTTAAGAAAGACAAATCAAACTTTCACAGTTTCACTTATTTCATAGTTTTAACATCCCAGATTAGTTGAAAAATATGTATAAACTAATTTAAATACTTCGATGATAAAAAAGGAAATCAAAATTTATTGTTTGTAGAGAAATATCACATAAATTCAATTGGGCGTAAGATTTATTTAAAATCAGACTTACAAAAAATAATAATAGTACCAATAATAAGTAAAACTTAAACAAGAAGACAAAGTGTATTTGTGTCTGGTAATGGTAGAGCAGAAACATAGACAGTAGCTGTTATGATTTTGGGGCCAAGGTGTCTGATCCGGGGGCATGTATTTGGTTGTGATATGGTACTACAACTACAATATTAATGGTGCCATCATATTGGACAAGTAGCATGGGACCTAAGTCATTTTCATCGTGGCTGCTACATTCTCCTACACCTCTTCTCTTCATATCCTTATTGTGCGGCCCAACACCACAATATCGGACCCACTTTACCATTTCATTTCCAGTCTTAAGGATTGGGACCAGACTATAATAAATTTAAGGTTAGCTATACCAACATAGAAAGAATTCAAATATATATATTATATAGAGGATAAAAAAGAAAAATAGAGTAACATTTGATTAATTATATAAAAGAAATTAAATTCATAACCTAAACTTGAAATTTCTTCTTCTTCCTTTTAATTTTTAAAAGCTATCAAGAATTCAATGATCAGACTATAATATATTTTTGTAAATAATTGATTTTTAATTTTAAAAACAGAAGAAGGGAATTTTAGGTAAAAGTGAGTTTTATATACGAGTCATGACTGTGTGAGTATATGTACAAAAGATAATAGTGGATTATTAATAGGAAAAACGAGAACATGATAAGTTTTGCCACGTCATAAGTTAAGAAAAAAGGTTTTTGTTTGTTGTTTCATAAAATCCAAGTTTTACAAGCAAAAACTCTACCAAAATACTAGTTCATAACTCAATTTAACAACTTTTTCTAACAACTCTAACGTGATAATAAAGTTGACACTACCATATCAACTAACGATTTTGACTAAATATGAATAGTCATTTTTTAGAGACGAACGATCGTTCATTCATTAAGAATTGTTGATCCTTCGTGAAGAACAATCGTTCTTATGAAAAAATGATCGTTCGTTACTAAAAAATGACTGTTTATATCTAATTAAAGTCATTTAATGCCTTGAATATGGTGGAAGCCAACTCAATTATCACATTGAGTTGTGAGATTAGGTTTTCATGTCGGTATTACTCAAAACCCTAAACCACACGCTCCAATTCTTCAAAAAATCAACTTTGAAAAAGATTGATAAGAGATGGATTGGTTTAACTCTGGTCCAGATAATGATTCAATTCCGGTCCAATAACATCTGTGGATGGGGCCTTTGGGCAGTCACTTCTGTCAAATTGACATTTCACTAGAGAGTTACAAAGGTACACCTAAACCGCTATCTTCTTGCTTTGATTTCCCATCTCTTCTCAAATTTTATTCATTGAATTCAACTAAATTATTGTTCACTCACTTTTGACTCAATGAATGATTTTGCTAAATTATTGCCTGGAGTTGGGCCCTAGTGCGCTAATTCCTACCGTTTATACTGCAAACAAATTGTACTACCACTGAAGGGTGTGACCTAATTAACCTCTAATGCAATGTTTCCTGCGTTGTCACTTCAATTTGTTTGTACTCCTTTGTTGAATCAATAATGTTTATATAATTGGGATTTCAACTATTGATATAGTTGTATTTATTTAATTATATTCAGTATTTATTAGATTTATATAATTTTATATATAAATAATAATTCATTGAGTTCATACTCTTTCTACATTGAATTTCCTTTTTTTATAAAATTATTTGAATTATTAGAACATTTAGAAAAAAAAAAAAAAAAGGGTTAAATTATTAATATGAATTTTCTTGTCAACAAGTCAAGTACTGTCCGGTGTCGTTTAGATGTGAATAAAAACATGGTATTTGGGGCAGAGAATAGGTGGGCCAGGAACCGCACTGAGCACTGTAACCTTAAGAGATTTATAAAATATAATTTTGAGCAGTTTTGGAATCCGTTGATAGTATCAGAAATATTATATTGTAATATGAACCAGTCACCGGAGGCGAAGTAGTCTATAAAGTAAGGTCACTTAGTTAAATTAAAGCCATAGAGTTGAGCCCTTTTAATTTTTTTCCTTCCATTATCAAAACATCAAGCAAGTCACAGTCAGAGTCAGAGTCTTGAGACACAGACAAACATGGAATCCAACGAGTTTGAACATCGTAACATTCTCTGATCTTTGAAAGTTGCTGTGTTTTGTTGTTTTGTTTTAGTTGTAGAAGTTACTTTTAAAGTGAGTTTGAAACTGGGTTTAGTTTAATTGTGTTGTTTTTAGTGTTTGATAATTTAGATTTGTGAGTTGATTTGGTGGAAATGGAAGTCTTACTCTTACTAGAAAGTTGTTATCTTGAAGGAGTGTGGGAATAATAATAATAAGAAGGAGTTAGATTGGTTAGAGTTGGTGAAAGTCGAAAGTGGAGTTACTAGAAATGGGTTTGTTACTACTTCTATGTTCCACGGGGCCACCCATAAAACGGAGGGCTGGGTTGAGGATAAAACAGGCGGGACGAGGTTCATATCGTGGTAGCTAGAGAAGATTGTAGTGGTCATTTTTGGGTAAATTGCTTTTATGTGTTAGAAATCTTTGTGTTTTTCTCTTGAGTTCATCAGATGGGGACTGCTGCTTTGAGGCAATTATTCAAGAGTTTTTGCACCAATTTATCTTGGAATTATGCTGTGTTTTGGAAGCTCAGCCATCAGGGTCAAATGTAAGTTATTTTATTTTACAATTTTTTATGCATGATTAAATTGTTTCAATCTCTTTGACATGATGTTTAGAGACAGATTACTTTTAGGATTTACAGTCTTCTTTGGGTTGATGGTCTAATACTACAGAATGGCTTTTTGGTCTAAAATATGTGTGAAAGGCTTGTTGTGCTGGTAGAGACTTGAGAGTTTGAATAGGAATTAAAGTTCGTATTAAAATTTGGTGATATATTTGTTGTTGGGATTTGAATTACATCATTAGTTGCAAGCGTATATATGATGCAAACTAAGTCATGTATCGATACTTTTACAGGATGAAAATGCAGGATTAAACACTTTTTCAAGTATACTGATTACTTACTGTTTATTTTAATTATTGTTTTTCTATATGTGTACATATCTGGATATTGTGATACAGATTTGTACAAGTGTGCAATTTTTATGTCTGTATTCTGAATTTATGAATTAGTTGCCTTATTATTTCAGGGTCTTGAGCTGGGAAGATGGGTTTTGTGATTTTCCTGTAATGAATTACTGTACTGGTGGTAATGAATTATTTTCTTCACACTGTGAAACAAGTGTACAAGATGGTGATTATGGGGGATATTCAATTGGGTTAGCAGTGGCTAACATGTCAACTCTTCATTATACATTGGGAGAGGGGTAAGTTCTTTTTATTAGCCTTTATGGTTACGTACAGTGCACTTGTTTTAGTCCATTTGTGTTTTATATACTTTATAATTATTCAAGCTAGTATCTTCATGTGTTCATATTTATTGCTTCTTGAGGCATGGAGGTTTTGAGGTTGAACCTCGAGAAACTAAATTTGAAGGTCTCCTCTAATGTCCTCACCTGTTGCTATATAATTATTCTCTGCACATCATCCTCCGTCCTAAAGTTGCAACCTGAACACCTGTCTGATTTGCGTCTAATCATGAAGTGAAACTCTTTGCACACTCGATTGTTGCTTGGGAAGACATTAATTGACCAAAATCTTATTTATATTGAAAAAAAGGAAAAATAACAAGCTGTGTGATTGCGGCTGAGTTCTGTGGAGATTGTTTTTACGTAATGTTATTTGACTCCTATCAAAAAAAAGAAAAAAAAAAAATGCAATATTAATTGACTATGGTGTTTTTTTTTTTTAAATTCAACAGGGTTGTTGGAGAAGTGGCTAATTCAGGGAATCATTTTTGGTTTTTTAATGATAACGTTTCTTCCGGCAAAATCAATTCTAACTTAGTTCCAGAGGTGAGTTTCTTTCTACAGTTCTTTAATTTAGGAGAGTCAAAACTTTTGCCTATATTGGTCAAAACTTTCTTTCTTTCTACAGTTTTCAAATGCAATTTTTCTATTTACAGTGTCCTGAAGAATGGCTGCTTCAGTTGGCATTAGGTATCAAGGTAATTTAATTTTTCAATATGCCTTACAAATCATATATGAAACATTGTCTCCTCTTGATAGAGATGTGCATGTTCATGTGTGTGCTTGTTCATGTATGTTGTGTAGGCATGGATTAAGCACACTTGCTAACTTTTAGCTGTTCTAATTTCATAAATTAAGTCCTCCAAAAATTGATATGTTTTAACTATTGATAATGCTTGTGCAGACTATTTTGCTGGTACCTGTACTTCCGCATGGAGTTCTCCAGCTTGGCTCTTTAAAAGTGGTGCGTATTTGTTTGGCTGTAATGGTGATTCTTGATGGTTAGTCTGATACCAACTATTTTGGTTTCAGAAGTTCTGGGCTTGTTTGTTTCACTCTTTTGGGTGACTTTTCTATTATCATATTTGGATTGCAAAATAGAATATGTGTTTGTTTAGTTATTGGGTCATTTCATTCAGAAAATTAATCTAACTCAAATAAGATTCAAATAAGATTTTTTGTCTAGAGTTAGAAAAGTGGGTGAAACTTGTTTTATATTATCATGTTCTATTCAATTCAAAACATTTAACAATTACCTTTCACAATAAAAGTTTATAAATTAACAAAAACACCACCACCCACCCAAGCCATGGTCGGCCGCCGGCAAGCACTGTTGGCTGTTAGCTACTGGCATTGGAATGATGCACAATCGGTCAGGGCACTCGAACGACGCATGATCGGTCAGATCTGGCCATTTTTGGCTAGATCGATGCACGATCGGCTAGATCCAGCTGGTCATGCACCATTTTGGCAACTTCAGGTCACCATTAGGCGGTGGTGGCCAGCTGTCGGCAGTCAGCTGGGTAGGTAGGGTGTTTTTGTTAATATATAAACTTTTATTTGGGGGGGAGGGGGGTTTGTTTAGCTAAATTAACAAATGTAAGAGGTTAAAAAATAATTTAAATATTTTCATAAAATGTTTTAAAAAAATATACCAAACAACTATTCTATATTTTTATCTAACTCTGATATAGGCTCTGATTGACGCACTCTTTTTCCACTATCCTATTCTAAAAAACAAAAATGCATTTGTTTTAATATTCTTCAAAATTCAATCCTATTCTATTCAATTCAAAACATTAATAATTACCTTTTTCAATAGAAGTTTTAAAATTAACAAAAACACTCCCACTCACCCAAGCCACTATCACCTGCCAGCAGCAGCAGTCGGCGTTGGCATTGTAACGACGTACAACTGGTTGGATCTTGTCGATCGTGTGTCGGTCTGTCCGTTTTTGGCAAGATCTACAGTCAAAGATCTGACCATTGACGACAACCAAATCTTGGCCGTCGTTTGGTAGTCAACGACGACCAGATCTGACTGTCAATGGCTAGATCTGTGGCTGTAGATCTAGCTGGAAAATGCCAGATCGGCGCACGATCGGTCAGATCTAGCCAGTCGTGCGCCATTCCTTACAGATTCCGGCCACCTTCTGGTGGTGGTGGTTGGCTGTCGGCAATATGTGGGTGGGTGGGGGTGTTTTTGTCAATTTATAAACTTTTATTGTGAAGGGTGTTTAGTTAAATTAACAAACCTAGGGGGTTAAAAATAATCTAAATATTTTCAAAAAATGTACCAAAAACTTCTTAGATTCCTATCCTATTTTCCAAAATGCTATTCTAAAAAACTAACCAGATGGAGTCATAATTTTCATATATTATACAAAATACATTCTCAGAATTTTGTTCTATTTGATTTAATCCTATCCTATTCAGAATGGTTTTTCAGAATATTATATTTCAAAATAATGTACCAAATAGGCCCTCTATCTTTAAATATTCCGGTTACTCTGTGGAAAATGTTACTTTTTTTTCTTTTTTCTTTTTTTTAAGTCAAGATGCTGTACATCTATGTATGGGAAGGTCCAAAACAATGAACTTTAGGAGACATAAAAATGCTGTGATTATGTATAGTGATAGTTCATGTACTTGACGTACTTTTCTCCCATTGAAGAGTCTGTGCTTGTGTACACACACGTACATGTGTGCTGTGCCATACATGTGCTTCTCCATAAGTACTTACACGATGCGTCTCTCTTCCTATAACAGGTTGCTGAAGATCGGGCATTGGTAGCATATATCAAAGATAGATTCATGTTTCACAATACTGGGAGAAATTTTGTACCTTCTACCTTAGGCAGAGAGATTCAAAATCAATCATCATCAGCCCTACTGCCCAGTATCATCAATAGCTTAGATAAACCATCAGCTTCTACTGTTTGCCCAACCAAATCTGAAGATTCAGATACTGTTGACACTGGCGAGCCAAATAAAATTGTGCTGTCATCTTTGGATCAGGTTGTGCCACTGTTAACTTTGCAGGATGCACTTCAAGTATCTGGGGAGGACCTCTCGGGGACTTTCATTAGTGAGACCAAGCCACTAGTTGGCTTCAATAAAGAATCAGAATCACCAAGTTGTTTTATTGATGCCAATGAGTTAGAGTTAGTGGAGAGTAAGTTGTTTGGATTATCTTGTCTGGAAGAAGAATTACAGGCATATTTTTCATATGATAAATACGACATGGAAGTGTTAGGAGAACTGTATAGCGGAGCTCTGAATTCTTATCCTGCTGGAGATACAATGGAACAGCTATCTGAAAACGAGATCCTAAATGATACAGTTCACAACAGTTCAGCCAGTTTCCTTAGCTTCCCCCAGGATTGTGAGTTACACAAAGCACTTGGACCAACTTTTGAAAGACATGCCAATGAATATTTGTGGAACTCGTCTTTCTCAGTGGATAAGACATGTAACAGCTCAAGTTTTGTCTCCAATAGGATTCTCTCTAATGGATTTGAGCCATCACGGTTTGTGAAAGAAGGTGATACAGAATATCTGTTGGAAGCTGTTGTTACCAATGCATGTGGTGATTTAGATGATACTTCTGATATATGTGATAGTGTCAAGTCATCTTTAACTTCGTTGGGGCAATTTGTTTCTTCATTGCAACCACAAAGCGAATACGAGGCAAGTGTGTTGATTGGCGATGATTCAGTTTCCCGGAGCCATTTCACATCCTCATGTATTGCTCTTGAGAGAAATGAACACTCTCCAAGTTTAACAACTATCAAGAGTACAATGGGCACGGTTATTGACAAAGAAAAGCTGGAAAAAGATTCCAAGTACATGAAGCCCAAGAAGGAATCAAAGCCATCCCCTGTCAGCAAAAAAAGGGCTAGGCCAGGTGATAACCAAAGACCAAGACCTAGGGATAGACAGCTGATCCAGGACCGGCTCAAGGAACTGCGGGACCTTGTTCCAAATGGCTTGAAGGTAAGTGCTTTCTTGGGTTTAAAGTTATTTTTTGTTGTGATCAAATTAAATAAACAATTTGCTATGGTTTTTGGTGGATTCAGTGTAGCATAGATGGCCTCTTAGATCGAACCATAAAGCATATGCTGTACTTGAGAAGTGTAACTGACCAGGCTGAGAAGTTGAGACAATGGGTGTACAACGAGGTATGGTCCCTGAAAGTCATTCATGTATTGTATCTCTTTACATCAAACACTCAATTCAAAATTTCTGTTTTTCTGCTTGCAATTAGACATTGATTATAACTGAAATAGTATTACATTTAGAAATAACTACTTTTCTAATAAGTTCATTGGTTTGTCTAGAAATGGACACATGTACTCGCGTAGAATTGTGTTTGAGAAAGAAGGGGGTGGTTAATGAGTGAGTTTACTACTGCTGTAGGCTTATGATTATTGACAAAGGAAACTGTAAACAGATTAGATTCAGTAGGAACGTATCACAACTCTTCAGCTGTGAAGATGAACTTTAAATCTGAGCTTATTCTTGAGAGGAAGGTGTTGAAACTTAACATTATATACGATTGTGTAATTCTTGCAGATGGGTGCCCGCAAGGATTTAAGATCATCTGAAACCTCAGATAGAAACCAAAATGGGACAACTTGGGCCTTTGATTTGGGAAACGATGTCTTGGTTTGCCCCATAGTTGTTGAGGATCTTGCATACCCAGGACACATGCTTATAGAGGTAGGTTGTATGAACTTCAATCTTACTTTTGAAGTCATTTAGTTGAGAGAGAGAAAAAGGTGTTGATTCCCAATCCTCTGTTTTATGTCAGATGCTATGCAACGAGCACTGTCTGTTTCTTGAGATTGCTCAGGTGATTCGCAGTTCTCAATTAACCATCTTGAAGGGTGTAATGGAAAGTCGTTCAAACAACACATGGGCTCATTTCATTGTTGAGGTATTACACTATTTATTCTTTTTTAAGAGCTTTTCCTGATAATGCTGTATCAGAAATATCAATAACATTTGCTACATTGCAATTTTGCACAGGCATCCAAGGGATTTCACAGGACGGATATTTTCTGGCCTCTGATGCACCTCTTGCAGCGCAAAACAGATTCCAAGATTTAACGTCCTAGGGCTGTTCTAAAAAAAATTTCAATTCACAAATATCTTTGGATTGCTAAGTTTTAGAGTGAGAAACCTAATGAACATCTATTGTATTAATACAGAGTTGTATTATGTGTACAAAGTCAGCAAATTTCCACTGCAATCTACTTTAAACTAAAGCTACTGTCTAAAACGAAATCTCATGTTCCCAGGCATGCACAACATAAACCATTATGTAACTTGTACATAAAAAAGACAAAGTAAGAAGAGATTGTGAGTGTAACAGAATAGTCAAGAGGCTAACTATCCTACCAAAACTGTCATCCCGTCTCCGAAGTTAAGAAAATCAGAGCTGTGTTTCACCCAGCAATAGTGTGTGCCACCAACCACATGCAACATTTTGCGGCAGAAAACCATCAATGGGTACCAGAGAAGGGATGTTGCGATCTATTGAATCACCCAGACCCAGCTGCAGGGATCAGGATTTAGAAAGTTAAGACTCTGTAATAAAAGAAAATAAATAAATCAAGGATCAGAGAATTCAAACGATCATACCTGGCCATACTTGTTCCATCCCCAGCCAAGCACTTGGCCGTCCTCTTCAATAATTACAAACAGAAAAAGAGCATTGTCAAAACTAGAAAATGGCAGTCATGATGTTTCATAATCCAGTTTCTTGTTCCATAAAGTCAACTATGCCAATCATGCAAATCATTGATTTCTAGAAACAAGGCTATCCTACATAACATGACTGATGATTATCAAAGGTCACCACCGGGAATTTCATCTTTTAGTTATTGGCAGGTAAATGTGAGACAAAACAAGAAAAAGAAATGCCTACAGGAATAAATGTCGTGGGAACATTACTGCACTGAAAACAAAAATGTTAATTCTCAAGTAAAGACCATTCACAAGAGAAAATATATTAAATCTTCCTCAGCTAACAGCAAGCGTGCAAGACAAATAATTGATAGCAAACTTGCCAAAATTCAAATCCTCTAAGTCGTATGGTGTATGTACTGTGATTCTCAACCTCCAAACCATCCAAATGGCTTTAGAATGGTTTTATAGGCCTGATGGAAGTACCAGCTGTGGATTCCTACCTGTCAGCATGGCGCTATGACGAGCCCCGCAAGAAACAACTTTTGCACGCTTACTTTCCAGGATTGGAGCATCCAACAGCCTCGGTATAGTCTGAAGCAAACATAAAAACCTTTAAGCTAATATCACATATATCAAAAAGTAGTCTCTTCTTTTCTATTATTTTATATTTCTTCGAAGTACATTATTATGGCACAAGAAGTTGCATGCAGGTACAAGTTGTACCAGCAATGATATCTGGATCTCATAGAGGGTCTTAGTCGGAAAAGGCGAATAAAATTCACATATGATGACATTTGGCATTTACCTCAGCTTGGTCTGCACCAGTTCCCAACTGTCCAAACTGATTTCCACCAAAGACATATACACGACCCTCAACTGAGATACACATGGTATGCCACAGTCCAGCAGCAATTTTCTCCACCTGAATACCAGTTAAAGAAGACACACAAGTTGGCCTCAACACATCATTTGTGCTTCCATGCCCACACTGGATCAAAAGGAAACCATGTGACAGAATGTTTTAGCAAGAGAACTGAAATTCTTGAAACTATTGCAATAAGGACTAGCTTCACTAACACGCAGACGCAAAAGCCCAAGGACAAAACCAAAGGAAAAGAGACTTCCAGACAAATTGTTTGCCGACAAAAAGTCCAATATTTTCCATTTCTGAGGGGCCAATTGACCCTTAAAATCACCTCATGAAGCCTGGGAAAAGGTGTACCACAGTTTGTGGTGCTAGTGACCACAAAACTCATAAAATCATATCCAGGTGTTGAGCTCTGTCAAGAACTCAACTCAGGGGGTTGTAGCAACAAGGGCCTAGTGTTATTTAATGCAAATCAAGGGCCATAAGTCACGGAGTGCACTAATTTTATATATATCTCACCTGTCCATATAGTCCCCAGCCAAATGTAAGTAGAGCTCCAGCATCTGCAAAGCAAAACATGTGAAGGAATTGTGCAAGTTAGAATAATTACATCGAGAACAAGTTAATACTTTTACCATATCTCATCAAAGTCAGCTATAATTGCCCACCAAGGGAGAAAAAGGAAAAAGGAACCAATAATTGTAGAAAATTGATGTGGCAATCTATGAGATAAGGGCATCTGACATAAACAGTTCATAAACTATGCTAATCCAGTGAATCTTCTTCATTCTCTTGGAAGAACCTCAAAAGCATTTCAGCAATAAGATGACTAAAAAATCAGCCATCAAATGCTGACCTGTTAATAGGGCACTATGCCGACCTCCACAAGCAATTCCTTTTACATAAGTTCCAGCGACCTTGGAAACTTGTGCTGATGGGTTCATACTTCCCTGACGAACAATTAAGGATCTATCTTTTGCAGAAGCAGCTGACTCAATGCAAGGTACGAGATGAGGCGTTGACACCATTTTTATCCGGGAACCCAAACCTAGCTGTCCTTCGCCTCCATAGCCCCAACCCCACACCTGTCCCATATCTGAAACTTCGGTTAAAAATATGATGCATCAAGTGTCTTGCTTTACATCAAAAATCTTCCAAAGGCTTCGAACTTCTACAACCTACAAAACTACTCAGGGTGACCACGAAGAAAAGACGACTTCACCTGAAAATCATAAGTGTCCATGCTGTGCTGACCCAAGATATAGTTGATTTACCTGATAATACTAAAGTGTGGCGCCCACCAGCAGCAACCATTGTGATCTTCACTCCAGGATTAAGAGTTACAGCAGAAGGGGATACAGTAAAAAAATCATCACATGTTGAGCTTTCAGATTCTTCTCTAGGAGATGATGTCTTTCTTCGTTTTGCAACTTCTTCCCCAGCACTTTTGTTGTCAAATTGAGATTGTGTCCCACCATTTACATTCGAACCTTCGGACTTTGGGCTAACTGTTACAAATTTCAATCTAACATTAGCTTTAAACAATGAAAACTCCCAGTTTCCATTTCCTTGAAGCACGATATTTCAAGAACTTGCCTTGCTCAGTAAGAGAACCACTTTGTTTCCCCATAACATCCTTCTGAGAACTTCCACCAGTAGTTAAATCACGCGCTACTTTTGCCGAGGGAACACACTCTTTCCAACCCCATGTGTATACTTCACCCGTATCTGTACATTGATAAATGACAAAAAGGTTATTTGGATTCGGTTCAACCACAAAACCAAATCCGGAAGAAAATTTTCTATAGCATTTGTTCATGTAAGTAAACCAGGCTTTCCCATCACAAAGCTAAATAAATTGTCTACAACACGTAGGTAAAAAAATAGCTTCTTGAAGCAAATTATTGCTCATAGCACATATACTAAACTGCCGCAAGAACAATAGTAGTTGAGAATAAAATTTTAAGGAAGATCAAATTAGACAAAAAGTACCTGTAACCGAAACACAATGAGCCCAACCAGCAGCAGCGTGCACTACTGAAGCTTCAGTTGGAAGAAGAAAAGGTTCCGGCGTTTCCTTGACAATGGGGCGGCAGAAAGAGGACGCTAAATCAATTGTTATACAAAATACAATAAATAATTTGCATATCAGAAATAACTGCATTACCCCATGCTTTCCTGAAGTCAGATAACTTTGACCTTCTTCATCTGTTGATCCCCATGTTATCAGCTTTCCAGACTCTATTTTCAACAAACAACAGTCCAAATTAACCACCTTATAATCCACCAAAATAGCTAAAGAATATAATTATTTCAAAGAAAAAAATAAATAAATAAAAACTGAAAACCAAGATCACTCAATCACGATTCAAAAAACTTGTGGAAAGAATTACTTCAAAGCAGAAAAACATTAGGAAAAAAAAGAAGCTGAAATATCGCATAGGAAGAAGAAAAAGAAAAAGACGAATCAATTGAATCACTCGATCAAACTTGAATAGAGAATTAGAAACAGAGAAGTTACGATGAGGTGAAATATTTTTACTTGAAATGGCAAGAGAAAATCCGCAGCCACCTCCACAGACATCCTTCCACGCATCATCGCCATGTAAGCGGACCGGAGTCGGAGAGAGAATCGGCGATTTCTCTGTCGAAATTCCCGGTAAATAGCCCCACATATACACAACAGTCTCTTTACTTTCCTCCATTTTCACATCCTCTTCTCTCTTATTTCCATTCATTTCCATTTCAACAAACGAAGTCCGAAAAATCACAAGAAAGTACACTGAGCTTGAGGTCTGGTTCTGAAGATAGCTAAGATTTGCGTTTTGGAGACGGAACTGAATAAAACGGTAGACAAAGAGTCTTGTTTTGTAACAATAATTTTGACTTAAAAAAATGCTGGGCCGTATCATTTACAGGGATATAGCATATGCCACGTTGGATGCCACGTATTTGTCTGTGAACGTGGCCTAATCATAGCCGTGTTTCTTGATTATTCCTTCTACGCCACGAATTCCCTCGAACTTTCTGGAAGATGACCTTAAACTTTCCTCAGTTTCTAAGCTTGTCTAGTTGGTGCCACGTGGTGGGGCTACCAATCCTTATTAATCCTTTTTCTAAATGCCCTCGTGCTCTGTAAAGGAATCTACCAACTTGCTACAGTGGTATCGTGTCACAACCTGGTCCGTTGGGATTAAAATTTCTCTGATGGAGGGATCTAGTGGTTGAAAAGACAAGCATTATTTAAGCACTTGTTTTTGTTAGTTTAATGACGACCGATTGTGGGGTAAGCCAAGGCCACCAACACTGCTGCCGTTAAAAAGTAGTTGGTAGCTGACTTCTGATAGGTTTTCTCCAAGTTCTAATAAGCTCTTTTTAAATAGATAATAAACTAAAGCTACTGTCTAAAACGAAATCTCATGTTCCAGGCATGCACAACATAACCATTATGTAACTTGTACATAAAAAAGACAAAGTAAGAAGAGATTGGTGAGTGTAACAGAATAGTCAAGAGGCTAACTATCCTACCAAACTGTCATCCGCTCCGAAGTTAAGAAAATCAGAGCTGTGTTTCCCAGCATAGTGTGGCACCCACCACATGCAACATTTTGCGGCAGAAAACCATCAATGGGTACCAGAGAAGGGATGTTGCGATCTATTGAATCACCCAGACCCAGCTGCAGGGATCAGGATTTAGAAAGTAAAAAGACTCTGTAAAAAAAATAAATAAATCAAGGATCAGGGGAATTCAAACGATCAACCTGGCCATACTTGTTCCATCCAGCCAAGCACTTGGCCGTCTCTTCAATAATTACAAACAGAAAAAGAGCATTGTCAAAACTAGAAAATGGCAGTCATGATGTTTCATAATCCAGTTTCTTGTTCCATAAAGTCACTATGCCAATCATGCAAATCATTGATTTCTAGAAACAAGGCTACCTACATGACATGACTGATGATTATCAATGTCACCACCGGGAATTTCATTTTTTAGTATTGGCAGGTAAAAGTGAGACAAAACAGAAAAAGAAATGCCTACAGGAATAAATGTCGTGGGAACATACTGCACTGAAAACAAAATGTTAATTCTCAAGTAAGACCTTCACGAGAGAAAATATATTAAATCTTCCTCAGCTAACAGCAAGCGTGCAAGACAAATAATTGATAGCAAACTTGCCCAAATTCAAATCCTCTAAGTCGTGGTGTATGTACTGTGATTTAACCTCCAAACCATCCAAATGGCTTTAGAATGGTTTTATAGGCCTGATGGAAGTACCAGCTGTGGATTCCTACCTGTCAGCATGGCGCTATGACGAGCCCCGCAAGAAAAACTTTTGCACGCTTACTTTCCAGGATTGGAGCATCCAACAGCTCGGTATAGCTGAAGCAAAATAAAAACCTTTAAGCTAATATCACATATATCAAAAGTAGTCTCTTCTTTTCTATTATTTTATATTTCTTCGAAGTACATATTATGGCACAAGAAGTTGCATGCAGGTACAAGTTGTACCAGCATGATATCTGGATCTCATAGAGGGTCTTAGTCGGAAAGGCGAATAAAAATCACTTGATGACATTTGGCTTTACCTCAGCTTGGTCTGCACCAGTTCCCAACTGTCCAAACTGATTCCACCAAAGACATATACACGACCCTCAACGAGATACACATGGTATGCCACAGTCAGCAGCAATTTCTCCACCTGAATACCCGTTAAAGAAGACACACAAGTTGGCCTCAACACATCATTTGTGCTTCATGCCCACACTGGATCAAAAGGAAACCATGTGACAGAATGTTTAGCAAGAGACTGAAATTCTTGAAATACTAGCTTCACTAACACGCAGATGCAAAAGCCCAAGGGCAAAACCAAAGGAAAAGAGAAATCCAAAAGTTGGCCGACAAAAAGTCCAATATTTTCCATTTCTGAGGGGCCAATTGACCCTTGAAAATCACCTCATGAAGCCTGGGAAAAGGTGTACCACAGTTTGTGGTGCTAGTGACCACAAAACTCATAAAATCATATCCAGGTGTTGAGCTCTGTCAAGAACTCAACTCAGGGGGTTGTAGCAACAAGGGCCTAGTGTTATTTAATGCAATCAAGGGCATAAGTCACTCAGTGACTGATTTATTAATATATCTCACCTGTCCATAGTCCCAGCCAAATGTAGTAGAGCTCCAGCATCTGCAAAGCAAAACATGTGAAGGAATTGTGCAAGTTAGAATATTACATCGAGAACAAGTTAATACTTTTACCATATCTCATCAAAATCAGCTACAATTGCCCACCAAGGGAAAAAAACAAATGAACCAATAATTGTAGTAAATTGATGTGGCAATCTATGAGATAAGGGCATCTGACATAAACAGTTCATAAACTATGCTAATCCAGTGATCTTTTTCTTCTTTGGAAGAACCTCAAAAGCATTTCAGCAATAAGATGACTAAAAATCAGCCATCAAACGCTGACCTGTAATAGGGCACTATGCCGACCTCCACAAGCATATCTGGGGAGGACCTCTCGGGGACTTTCATTAGTGAGACCAAGCCACTAGTTGGCTTCAATAAAGAATCAGAATCACCAAGTTGTTTTATTGATGCCAATGAGTTAGAGTTAGTGGAGAGTAAGTTGTTTGGATTATCTTGTCTGGAAGAAGAATTACAGGCATATTTTTCATATGATAAATACGACATGGAAGTGTTAGGAGAACTGTATAGCGGAGCTCTGAATTCTTATCCTGCTGGAGATACAATGGAACAGCTATCTGAAAACGAGATCCTAAATGATACAGTTCACAACAGTTCAGCCAGTTTCCTTAGCTTCCCCCAGGATTGTGAGTTACACAAAGCACTTGGACCAACTTTTGAAAGACATGCCAATGAATATTTGTGGAACTCGTCTTTCTCAGTGGATAAGACATGTAACAGCTCAAGTTTTGTCTCCAATAGGATTCTCTCTAATGGATTTGAGCCATCACGGTTTGTGAAAGAAGGTGATACAGAATATCTGTTGGAAGCTGTTGTTACCAATGCATGTGGTGATTTAGATGATACTTCTGATATATGTGATAGTGTCAAGTCATCTTTAACTTCGTTGGGGCAATTTGTTTCTTCATTGCAACCACAAAGCGAATACGAGGCAAGTGTGTTGATTGGCGATGATTCAGTTTCCCGGAGCCATTTCACATCCTCATGTATTGCTCTTGAGAGAAATGAACACTCTCCAAGTTTAACAACTATCAAGAGTACAATGGGCACGGTTATTGACAAAGAAAAGCTGGAAAAAGATTCCAAGTACATGAAGCCCAAGAAGGAATCAAAGCCATCCCCTGTCAGCAAAAAAAGGGCTAGGCCAGGTGATAACCAAAGACCAAGACCTAGGGATAGACAGCTGATCCAGGACCGGCTCAAGGAACTGCGGGACCTTGTTCCAAATGGCTTGAAGGTAAGTGCTTTCTTGGGTTTAAAGTTATTTTTTGTTGTGATCAAATTAAATAAACAATTTGCTATGGTTTTTGGTGGATTCAGTGTAGCATAGATGGCCTCTTAGATCGAACCATAAAGCATATGCTGTACTTGAGAAGTGTAACTGACCAGGCTGAGAAGTTGAGACAATGGGTGTACAACGAGGTATGGTCCCTGAAAGTCATTCATGTATTGTATCTCTTTACATCAAACACTCAATTCAAAATTTCTGTTTTTCTGCTTGCAATTAGACATTGATTATAACTGAAATAGTATTACATTTAGAAATAACTACTTTTCTAATAAGTTCATTGGTTTGTCTAGAAATGGACACATGTACTCGCGTAGAATTGTGTTTGAGAAAGAAGGGGGTGGTTAATGAGTGAGTTTACTACTGCTGTAGGCTTATGATTATTGACAAAGGAAACTGTAAACAGATTAGATTCAGTAGGAACGTATCACAACTCTTCAGCTGTGAAGATGAACTTTAAATCTGAGCTTATTCTTGAGAGGAAGGTGTTGAAACTTAACATTATATACGATTGTGTAATTCTTGCAGATGGGTGCCCGCAAGGATTTAAGATCATCTGAAACCTCAGATAGAAACCAAAATGGGACAACTTGGGCCTTTGATTTGGGAAACGATGTCTTGGTTTGCCCCATAGTTGTTGAGGATCTTGCATACCCAGGACACATGCTTATAGAGGTAGGTTGTATGAACTTCAATCTTACTTTTGAAGTCATTTAGTTGAGAGAGAGAAAAAGGTGTTGATTCCCAATCCTCTGTTTTATGTCAGATGCTATGCAACGAGCACTGTCTGTTTCTTGAGATTGCTCAGGTGATTCGCAGTTCTCAATTAACCATCTTGAAGGGTGTAATGGAAAGTCGTTCAAACAACACATGGGCTCATTTCATTGTTGAGGTATTACACTATTTATTCTTTTTTAAGAGCTTTTCCTGATAATGCTGTATCAGAAATATCAATAACATTTGCTACATTGCAATTTTGCACAGGCATCCAAGGGATTTCACAGGACGGATATTTTCTGGCCTCTGATGCACCTCTTGCAGCGCAAAACAGATTCCAAGATTTAACGTCCTAGGGCTGTTCTAAAAAAAATTTCAATTCACAAATATCTTTGGATTGCTAAGTTTTAGAGTGAGAAACCTAATGAACATCTATTGTATTAATACAGAGTTGTATTATGTGTACAAAGTCAGCAAATTTCCACTGCAATCTACTTTACACTAAGGGTAATGCTATTTGTATAAACTTACGTGGCACACCATAATATAAAAATCTGCATAACATTAGTATGACATTAAATTATGTGAGTCTTCGCATAACATTAGTATGACATTAAATTATGTGAGTATATTTTATGGTGTGTCATGTAAATTTATATAAACTCTCTTTATACAAAGAGTGTATAAATAGCATTACCCTTAAACTAAAGCTACTGTCTAAAAGGAAATCTCATGTCATGCACAACATAAACCATTATGTAACTTGTACATGAAAAGACAAGGTAAGAAACTTTGTAAGAAGAGATAGTGAGTGTAATATTTTCCGAATCAACAGAATAGTCAAGAGGCTAACTATCCTACCAAAACTGTCATCCCGTCTCCGAAGTTAAGAAAATCAGAGCTGTGTTTCACCCAGCAATAGTGTGTGCCACCAACCACATGCAACATTTTGCGGCAGAAAACCATCAATGGGTACCAGAGAAGGGATGTTGCGATCTATTGAATCACCCAGACCCAGCTGCAGGGATCAGGATTTAGAAAGTTAAGACTCTGTAATAAAAGAAAATAAATAAATCAAGGATCAGAGAATTCAAACGATCATACCTGGCCATACTTGTTCCATCCCCAGCCAAGCACTTGGCCGTCCTCTTCAATAATTACAAACAGAAAAAGAGCATTGTCAAAACTAGAAAATGGCAGTCATGATGTTTCATAATCCAGTTTCTTGTTCCATAAAGTCAACTATGCCAATCATGCAAATCATTGATTTCTAGAAACAAGGCTATCCTACATAACATGACTGATGATTATCAAAGGTCACCACCGGGAATTTCATCTTTTAGTTATTGGCAGGTAAATGTGAGACAAAACAAGAAAAAGAAATGCCTACAGGAATAAATGTCGTGGGAACATTACTGCACTGAAAACAAAAATGTTAATTCTCAAGTAAAGACCATTCACAAGAGAAAATATATTAAATCTTCCTCAGCTAACAGCAAGCGTGCAAGACAAATAATTGATAGCAAACTTGCCAAAATTCAAATCCTCTAAGTCGTATGGTGTATGTACTGTGATTCTCAACCTCCAAACCATCCAAATGGCTTTAGAATGGTTTTATAGGCCTGATGGAAGTACCAGCTGTGGATTCCTACCTGTCAGCATGGCGCTATGACGAGCCCCGCAAGAAACAACTTTTGCACGCTTACTTTCCAGGATTGGAGCATCCAACAGCCTCGGTATAGTCTGAAGCAAACATAAAAACCTTTAAGCTAATATCACATATATCAAAAAGTAGTCTCTTCTTTTCTATTATTTTATGTTTTTTCGAAGTACATTATTATGGCACAAGAAGTTGCATGCAAGTACAAGTTGTACCAGCAATGATCTATCTGGATCTCATAGAGGGTCTTAGTTGGAAAAGGCAAATAAAATTCACATATCATGACATTTGGCATTTACCTCAGCGTGGTCAGCACCAGTTCCCAACTGTCCAAACTGATTTCCACCAAAGACATATACACGACCCTCAACTGAGATACACATGGTATGCCACAGTCCAGCAGCAATTTTCTCCACTTGAACACCAGTTAAAGAAGACACACAAGTTGGTCTCAACACATCATTTGTGCTTCCATGCCCACACTGGATCAAAAGGAAACCACGTGAGAGAACGTTTTAGCAAGAGAACTGAAATTCTTGAAACTATTGCAATAAGGACTAGCTTCACTAACACGCAGACGCAAAAGCCCAAGGACAAAACCAAAGGAAAAGAGACTTCCAGACAAATTGTTTGCCGACAAAAAGTCCAATATTTTCCATTTCTGAGGGGCCAATTGACCCTTAAAATCACCTCATGAAGCCTGGGAAAAGGTGTACCACAGTTTGTGGTGCTAGTGACCACAAAACTCATAAAATCATATCCAGGTGTTGAGCTCTGTCAAGAACTCAACTCAGGGGGTTGTAGCAACAAGGGCCTAGTGTTATTTAATGCAAATCAAGGGCCATAAGTCACGGAGTGCACTAATTTTATATATATCTCACCTGTCCATATAGTCCCCAGCCAAATGTAAGTAGAGCTCCAGCATCTGCAAAGCAAAACATGTGAAGGAATTGTGCAAGTTAGAATAATTACATCGAGAACAAGTTAATACTTTTACCATATCTCATCAAAGTCAGCTATAATTGCCCACCAAGGGAGAAAAAGGAAAAAGGAACCAATAATTGTAGAAAATTGATGTGGCAATCTATGAGATAAGGGCATCTGACATAAACAGTTCATAAACTATGCTAATCCAGTGAATCTTCTTCATTCTCTTGGAAGAACCTCAAAAGCATTTCAGCAATAAGATGACTAAAAAATCAGCCATCAAATGCTGACCTGTTAATAGGGCACTATGCCGACCTCCACAAGCAATTCCTTTTACATAAGTTCCAGCGACCTTGGAAACTTGTGCTGATGGGTTCATACTTCCCTGACGAACAATTAAGGATCTATCTTTTGCAGAAGCAGCTGACTCAATGCAAGGTACGAGATGAGGCGTTGACACCATTTTTATCCGGGAACCCAAACCTAGCTGTCCTTCGCCTCCATAGCCCCAACCCCACACCTGTCCCATATCTGAAACTTCGGTTAAAAATATGATGCATCAAGTGTCTTGCTTTACATCAAAAATCTTCCAAAGGCTTCGAACTTCTACAACCTACAAAACTACTCAGGGTGACCACGAAGAAAAGACGACTTCACCTGAAAATCATAAGTGTCCATGCTGTGCTGACCCAAGATATAGTTGATTTACCTGATAATACTAAAGTGTGGCGCCCACCAGCAGCAACCATTGTGATCTTCACTCCAGGATTAAGAGTTACAGCAGAAGGGGATACAGTAAAAAAATCATCACATGTTGAGCTTTCAGATTCTTCTCTAGGAGATGATGTCTTTCTTCGTTTTGCAACTTCTTCCCCAGCACTTTTGTTGTCAAATTGAGATTGTGTCCCACCATTTACATTCGAACCTTCGGACTTTGGGCTAACTGTTACAAATTTCAATCTAACATTAGCTTTAAACAATGAAAACTCCCAGTTTCCATTTCCTTGAAGCACGATATTTCAAGAACTTGCCTTGCTCAGTAAGAGAACCACTTTGTTTCCCCATAACATCCTTCTGAGAACTTCCACCAGTAGTTAAATCACGCGCTACTTTTGCCGAGGGAACACACTCTTTCCAACCCCATGTGTATACTTCACCCGTATCTGTACATTGATAAATGACAAAAAGGTTATTTGGATTCGGTTCAACCACAAAACCAAATCCGGAAGAAAATTTTCTATAGCATTTGTTCATGTAAGTAAACCAGGCTTTCCCATCACAAAGCTAAATAAATTGTCTACAACACGTAGGTAAAAAAATAGCTTCTTGAAGCAAATTATTGCTCATAGCACATATACTAAACTGCCGCAAGAACAATAGTAGTTGAGAATAAAATTTTAAGGAAGATCAAATTAGACAAAAAGTACCTGTAACCGAAACACAATGAGCCCAACCAGCAGCAGCGTGCACTACTGAAGCTTCAGTTGGAAGAAGAAAAGGTTCCGGCGTTTCCTTGACAATGGGGCGGCAGAAAGAGGACGCTAAATCAATTGTTATACAAAATACAATAAATAATTTGCATATCAGAAATAACTGCATTACCCCATGCTTTCCTGAAGTCAGATAACTTTGACCTTCTTCATCTGTTGATCCCCATGTTATCAGCTTTCCAGACTCTATTTTCAACAAACAACAGTCCAAATTAACCACCTTATAATCCACCAAAATAGCTAAAGAATATAATTATTTCAAAGAAAAAAATAAATAAATAAAAACTGAAAACCAAGATCACTCAATCACGATTCAAAAAACTTGTGGAAAGAATTACTTCAAAGCAGAAAAACATTAGGAAAAAAAAGAAGCTGAAATATCGCATAGGAAGAAGAAAAAGAAAAAGACGAATCAATTGAATCACTCGATCAAACTTGAATAGAGAATTAGAAACAGAGAAGTTACGATGAGGTGAAATATTTTTACTTGAAATGGCAAGAGAAAATCCGCAGCCACCTCCACAGACATCCTTCCACGCATCATCGCCATGTAAGCGGACCGGAGTCGGAGAGAGAATCGGCGATTTCTCTGTCGAAATTCCCGGTAAATAGCCCCACATATACACAACAGTCTCTTTACTTTCCTCCATTTTCACATCCTCTTCTCTCTTATTTCCATTCATTTCCATTTCAACAAACGAAGTCCGAAAAATCACAAGAAAGTACACTGAGCTTGAGGTCTGGTTCTGAAGATAGCTAAGATTTGCGTTTTGGAGACGGAACTGAATAAAACGGTAGACAAAGAGTCTTGTTTTGTAACAATAATTTTGACTTAAAAAAATGCTGGGCCGTATCATTTACAGGGATATAGCATATGCCACGTTGGATGCCACGTATTTGTCTGTGAACGTGGCCTAATCATAGCCGTGTTTCTTGATTATTCCTTCTACGCCACGAATTCCCTCGAACTTTCTGGAAGATGACCTTAAACTTTCCTCAGTTTCTAAGCTTGTCTAGTTGGTGCCACGTGGTGGGGCTACCAATCCTTATTAATCCTTTTTCTAAATGCCCTCGTGCTCTGTAAAGGAATCTACCAACTTGCTACAGTGGTATCGTGTCACAACCTGGTCCGTTGGGATTAAAATTTCTCTGATGGAGGGATCTAGTGGTTGAAAAGACAAGCATTATTTAAGCACTTGTTTTTGTTAGTTTAATGACGACCGATTCTGGGATAAACCAACACCGCTGCCGTTAAAAGTAGTTAGCAGCTGACTTCTGATAGGTTTGGTACAAGTTCTAATAAGCTCTTTTTAAATAGATAATCCCTGTTGAAAGTTGTGATTACAAATAAATCTGTGCAATCATAATTTGAAAATTTTCCATTATGGTTCTTAAATTAGATTAAAATTTAAAATTTTACTATTAGTAAATTACCCTTGAGTATGTATACATAAAATAGAAATTTAAGAATAATTCTATACAATAGTTCAAAAAGAGCATATATCATACATTTATTAGATGGTTGTATGTACATTAAATGAATGAGAAAGTATATAGTATTATATCGATATTACTATGTGATAACACAATTTAATGCATGATTATGGAGTAATAATTGTATTCAATAGTTATCCCAAACTCATCACTTATTTCATCATCTATCATTCAAAAAAAAAAAAAAAAGTTTGAAAAACTTATTTGAAAAGGGATTATATAACAAACTAAACTGATTATGAAATAATCTGTTTTATAAAAGAAATCTAAAAGTAGGTTTTTTAAGCTTTTAGAAGGGTTAATTACAAAAATATCCTATTAACTTAAATTATAAAATTTTCTTATTTGAAAAGTTTAAACTAGACTGAGAGTGGCCGGCCAGTCGCTGACGAATTCGTCGATGGTGGTTGGTCGACCACTCATGATCCAATTTTTAATTTTGTTAATTTTTTTATTTAAAAAACTTGAATTTAAATTTATTTTAATAATGGAAAAAATTACTTTAAATACATCTATTTTATAATTTCACATTGATAATATATTATCTTCTAAAGACATAAGTGCTTTTAAAATTAAAAAAAAAAAAAAAAAACAACCACCCTAATAGATTCTTTATAAAGTTGATTATTTCTAAAATTGACCCATAAATGATTATGAGACAAGCTACAACAATCCTAAAATAAACCTAAATTGGATGAACTTGATTAATTGTTTTTCAAAAATTACAACACAAAAGAACAACATTATTCTTCAATATCAAGAAAGTACTAATGCTCTTCCTGATACTTGATTACTTGACAAAATAAGCACCAAGACTAGAAAATATACGCCTGAAGTGACCTTGTTTTCTAGTTTAGAATAGCTCCAGGATAACCATTCACAGTGTATCCACCATCAATGCAAATAACCTGTCCACTGATGTATGAAGCCGCAGGTAGGCAAAGAAATGCCACCAGTGACGAAACCTCATTCGCCTCTCCTGCTCGGCACATCGGAGTTCTAGAGATCATGCGATCCATTATTTCCTTACCTTCAGGATTTTCCTGTAAAACAAAGGAAACCAGATTCAGTTCCAGCTTCATTTATAAGGTTTTACTTGCAGTCAGGAATTAGAGTTTTACTCCAGCAGACTCTATCAGAGGGGTATTGATAATATATGGAGCCACTGCATTAGCACGAATGTTGTCCTTTGCCCACTCACACGCCAAGTTCTTGGTAACCTGATTGATTGCCCCTGGACAACATAATCAACATCGCAAATTTATGATTTCCAAATGAGTCAGATTCATCAAAAATGTGCCCTTTATGTACAAGCGGACTCACCTTTAGTTGCTGCATAGATTGAAACCAATGGACATGCAATCACACCAGAAACTGAGGATACAAATACAATGCTTCCATTTCCTGAAGCCTTCAAAAGAGGATGTGCTAGTTGACATAGATGATAAGAAGACTCAAAATTGGTACCCATTATAAACGAGATATCCTCTGCTGTAAAATCTGTGGTATTTTTAAGTATAACCGTACCAGCATTGTTCACCTACACCAATTGATTAGTCATTGTTAGAGTGCATTATAATTTTGTTCACCATCTCTCCCCAGAATTAGACTTGCAAGGATATTGAGCTTCCCATGGAAGAGAGAAGAGACAGTTTCCATCAATTTTTCTCTTTGGTTTCTGTGTAACACATCACATACAGACCCGGTTACAGTAAAACCTTTGCTTTTCCATTCTTGCAAACGTTGATCAACCTCCGTTTGGTTGCGAGAACAAGTGTGAACAGCTGCTCCAAATCCTGCTAGTTCTTCTACTATTGCATGTCTAAAGCAAATAGCAAAAAGAAGGTTAATTAACTAGTTAGCCACTATGTAATTCATTATCATAAAAATTGGAGAGTCACCTACCCGATGCCTTTAGTTCCACCAGTTACCAGAGCAGTCATCCCCTTCAGAGACCATCTTTCATGCCTGGCGCCAATTGTCTCTGGTGCAGCCATGTTATCTTTCTACAAGAGGTGATCGATTATATGGAGAGAGAAAAGAGGGGGATAAACATCGGAAACGTGTGGTTCTAAAAATATTGCTTTGCAATACATCAATTTATATATGTTGATTTGTGTAATGTGGACTGTGTCGATTCTCAGTTAGACACGCCTCCATCTTTTAATTATTATGTAAAACAACGATTGAAGATACTGCAAGTCTGCAACCCAGGGCCGGCCCAAGGGGTAGGCAGATGAGCCACCTGCCTAGGACCCTAAAAAAAAAAAAAAAAAAACCTAAAAGAGGGTCCAAAATTATTTTAAGATTTTTTTAAATAGATTTACTGACCGGTCCAAAGGCCCCCAAAAAGCCAAAATGGCCCAAATTCATTATAATTTTTTTACATAAATTTATAAAAAAAACCATGTTTCATATTTTTCATTCACGCCCCTAAATTAACTAAACTAGTATTTAAATGTCTAAAATTTCAAAACACCTATTCAATCCCTAAAATGATGAAAACATTGCATCTCCACCCCTCTACACTGCAATAGTGTCGCTGTCGGCGTTAAAGTGATGATTCCGATCAATTTTCTCACCAAAATGGATCGGATTCATCACTTAATCATTTCCGAAACGTTTTCCCAGCCTTTACAACTCCCAATTCGGCTGATTTTTGCTGATTTTCACAACCCATTTTCATTCTTCATCGCATGCGACAACCATTTTCGGCACGTATCCGCTGTCGTTGACCTTCCTCGACACCACCATCTTCGTCCCCTCAGCCCCCTCCCCAAAACCCCTCACTTACTTGACCCCGATAGCCCGCCGTCCACCTCTCGCCCTCACAAGAAAGATTAGGTAATTTGACTATATTATCAATTGAAAAAGATTTGATTTCTAAACTTGAACATAAAAATTTAATTAGTGATTTTGCATCTAAAAAAAAGAGAAAAATAAATTTGAAATAATTTTTTAATACGTGTTTATATTCTTAAAAGAGCCTCAAAGTAACTTTTATTTAGGGTCATAAATGTTCTTGAGACGGCCTGCTTCAACCACATGGAAAACTTGAAGAAAAACGGGTGTGTGGATTTAGGGGTGAGCGGTTTCGGGTACCCTGCATTTTCCGGGGGAACCAGAACCGGAACCGCACAGTGCAGGTTTCCAAAAAAAGGAACCGGAACCGGAACCGCACAGTGCAGGTTCTTCAATT